TTTTGACGAAATGGCAGTTTTGTGGAAATTTGTCCCACAAACACTGAAATCACGTTATTCATATTTCTTTTATTTTCTTTTATGTTCTGTTTCCTTTCATTTTGATGGCGCAGGTGGTAGTTTTCCTAGTTAAATGAATGTCACGCCCAGACTCATGCAGATTCATTCACTCCATAGTGGATAGCATTCCAGCTTGAGCGTTGACGTGTCTAGCACGCCGAATAAGGATGTGTTACTTCGGGCTATTTGAAGGTGGTTCATGTTCCTTCTCGTTTTTTTTTTTGTAGTCCAGAGTGAGCGAGCAAAGTTGCGCTAATCGTAAAAGGAAGAACGGGCGCAGGGAGGATGGAGACAAAGAGGGAAAAAAAGGAGAATAACGGGGATGAGAAGCAAATATCTCGTACGTTTCTTTACATAATTGAAAGCGGGAAGGTTTGGAATACATATTTTGAGGTTCGATGAGTTGAATGGTAATGACAGTTTAGTCATTAGAGCAGTAAAATGGGAAATAGAAGAGAACGAGGGTCAGCGGGAGAGTCGACGGAGGCCATTAGGTGAATCGATGGAGTAAAAATTGTGTCTCTCGGTCGTTTCTTGCCCATTTTTCGTAAACTAAGATGTTAAATAGGGGTTTTCAGACATAGTGAATCAACTTATCCTGTTAGATGTTGATTTTAGCAAGTAGAATGGGTGCTATAAGGGTTAGGTGTTGGATGCAGGGATGCATTTTTCCATGTTCTAGCGGAAGATTCATTCTCATTTTCCTTGCTTGATCGTTGTAAGCCTAATCTTACTTATCATCACGGTGGTATTCACGCTCATCATCGAGGCTTTCTTCGCGCTTATTGTTGCTTCTCCTGACGACGGTGTTCATCCTTCTGATGATGTTCATTCATCGTCTTCGTTCCAGGCGGTAGTATTCGTCAAATCGTTCACGATGGTTTCCGTTGTAGTCTACTTTCTCGTTCCCTGTGGTAGTCACTGTTAGATTAAGTCTGGCAATTAGTATGGCCAGATATCGACCAACACTGCAAAAGGGAATGCACAAAGAGTGAGAGCGAGAGTACTCACCAATGATCATGTATCTTCCCATGTTCTAACAGAAGATTCATCCTCCTTGCACATAAGGTGAATGGTGCAGCAATGGTGCGGTCGTGTTGGTGGACGATGTACCTTTTCCCGTTCTAGCATAAGGTTTATTCGTTTTCAGTTGTGACATGTCGTTTCCTTTTCACCGTCACGCGACTGTCGTTTTGTGTGGTCATGGCCTTGGCATCCTCGCTCACTTATACTCGCCACGCACACTCACTTACTCACTCACTCACTCACCCGCCTGCCCGCTCGCATGCATACATACTCACTCACTCACTCACTCACC